AAGGGGTGTCCCCCCCCCGGAAATGGGGACACTTCGTCCAGAACCGCGGCCGGGAAACCAAAACTTGGGCCGAAATATTTGGGGTTTCCCCCCCAGTGCCCGGCTCCGCTGAGCTGTTAACGGGGGGCGCTGGCGCGGGGGGGGGGGGGGGGCGGGTGCGCTCGGCCCCCAAAGGGTTAAGCTGGGACTTGGGGAACTTTGCTCGGGGTGGCTGCGCTCCAGCCGCTGATTGGCCCGAAGTTGGAGCTGGGGGCGGGGTCTGCCCGGCCCCCCGCCCGGCCCCTTCGCCGCCCGCCGGTCAGTCCCCCCGCCCGGCAGTCCCGCGCCCGCCGCCCGACCTGGCCGGAGCGATGTGCCCGGCGCTGCTGCTGCGGCTCCTGCTGTGGGGGCCGCTGCTGTGGGGGCGGCTCCGGCCGGAGCGCGTCCCTCGGCACAGCATCTACTGGAACTCGAGCAACCCCAGGTACGGCCCGGCCCGGCCCGGCTCGGCTCGGCTCGGTCTGGAGCCGCCGCGCCCGGGGGCCGTAGGGAGCGGGGGTGCTCGGGGCGCCTGCCCGGCCCGGCCCGGCGCGCTCGGGGGGCTCGGTGGCTGGGGGTCCCCGGCCGGTCCCGGCTCCGCGCTGCGCGCTCGGCGGCTCCTTTGTCTGCAGTGCCCGCGCCCCCTGCCCGGCCCCAGCCTGGCTGCGCCCTGCCGCTCCGGGCTAGTCCCAGGCCGGGCTCCCCGGCCCCAGCAGCGACTGGCCGGTAAAATGCCCCGGGGGGCGGTGCGAGGGCTGGACCAGCCCCTCACCAGCTGGGGCCGGGCGGCGCTGCCAGGCGGCGGGGCCGGGAGCGGGCGTTACGCTGGGCAGGTCCTGCCAGCCTCACCTGTGCCAGGCCGGCGTTCCTGAGCGGCGCCGCCCGGCCAGGGGGCGAGTCGGGGCGAGTCTGGGGCGACTCGCTCCCCGGGAAACGTCCCGCCTCCTACAGCGCCCGGCGTGGGAACGGCCCGGCAGCGCCCGGCGCCCTGCAAAGGGGCAGGGGGCGGCGAGCCTGCTGCTGCCAGAACCAGGTGGAAAGTGCTGGCCCCATAGGCCCTTCCCAGTGATCGCAGCTGGCCCTGCATCCAACGTGGGCGTGGCAGGGCCCAGCGCTGCTCCTGGCTGTGCCCAGGGGATGTGCCCGCCCCCCCCCCCCGCCCCCCCCCCATCAGCCTCATCTGTAGCCTTGAACTGGGAACTCTCCTGTCTGCCAGGGCGTGAGCCGTGGCACCGAGCCCCAGGGCTGAGCTGGCAGGTGGGTTCTGGGGCTGGAGCGTCAGGAAGCAGCTTTGGGGCCCCCCCCCGAGTGTGGCAGCGGCTCCTGCCCCCTCTCTGCAGGCAGCATGAGGGTGCCACCCCCCCTCCAATGGCAAGGGCCCCTGGACTGTGCCCGAAGGCTTCTCCGTCTGCTGGAGTCGGGCTCCCCCAGCGTGGGGCAGAACAGGCCGTGCCCTGTGACACGGGGGGAGGGGAGGGTGGCGATGGGGGAGCTGCAGGGCCCTCCTTCTACAAAGCTGAATTGTGTTTGAGACTTGACTAAACCAGACTGTGCCCGGGGCGGGGGGCTGAGGGGACTGGCAGTCTAGGGCATGTGGGTCCCTGACCTTTCCCTGCTACTCCAGGCAGGAGAGTCCTGGCTCGTCCCCGTGGTGCTGGGCACAGGCTGCCCTGGAGGGTCTTGCACAGCTGCACTTGGGGGTGCGCCCATCTCCCCTGCCCCAGACGCCTCATTTTCAGAGCTCTGTCAAGCGGATGCCAGCCCGCTCCCAGGGCTCCGGCCTGCTAGGGGGGCAGGGGGAGAGCTGGCTCCCAATGCGGCAGCATTGGGGGCGATTTGGGGCAAACCCCACCCTGAGCTCCTGACTTCTGCCGCAGGACGCGCTTGGAGCCGCAGCTCTTCTGGGGCGATAACGCTGAGAGTCCTGCCCCCCAAATCACTCCGTCCAAGTGCTGTTAGCCCCTTGCCCCTCCGCTTCGGGGCACAGAGCGCATGCAGGCCCCTTGCCTGTGCCGAGACCCACTCTACCCCCAGCTCCTGTGGGCTTGGCCCCCTGGCAGGGATTGAGGTTGCTGATGCTCTGAGTGGGGTGGGAGGGATGGGGCTAGGCCTGTGCCTGACACACAGCGGTTACTGTGCCGGCCCGTCACACCGGAGCCTGGGCCCTGCTGAGGAGAAGGGGCTTCCCCAGGACCTGAGCACAAGTGGGGGGAAAGGGGGCAGGCCTGGGAGCCGTAACCTGGGCAGGGCTCGGGTACAAGGAGGAAGTGGTGGTAGAGGAGTCCAGCATCTGGGGCAGGGGAGTGTCCAGGGCCAGGCCTGTGGGGGGCTCTGGGCCTCCAGGGAAGCCCCTGGGGAGGCTGTGAGGGGGTCCAAATTCCCCTTTTACTAGTGGGTGAGGCTCTGTGTCCAGGTGAGATAGGAGGGCTCCCTCCCCTGTGGTGCTGGCGTCTGGGCCAGCCAGGGGCGAATGGCTGCATGGGGGGGCACTCCGTGACCTGCCCCCTTTTGAGTCTTTGTCCCATGGCTTGGGGCCGGGTTTGCTGGCGGGAGCTGGCAGAGCAGGGTGTAGGTGGGGCCGGCTGGCCGCCCGCTCCCCCCCACAGCAGCGTGGCTAATAGCTGCGGCCCAGGTGCCCGAGTCAGGACCGAGGTGCTGGCTGATCCAGCATCAGCCTTTGCCGAGGCCGGTGCAGGGACTAGCCGGGCTGTGCTCACCGCGCACTGCCGACCCCGCTACCCGGGGACCTGCCTTGGACGGCCCCGCTGTAGGGCCCAGCTCCCTGGTGTCCTGCAGCAGAGAGGCTGGAGTGTGGGCTGGGGGAGAGGCTCAGCAGGGCGTGCACCCCTAGTGCTGGGCATTGCCATCAGAGCTGCCCCCCACGGGGCGGGGAGGTGGGCCGGGGGCACCTGGACCTCGGTCTGTGGCTGGGAGGCCAGGTCAGAACTAGGTCGTAGTTTTCACTGCGCCCCCCTAGGCAACCCGTCCCCAGCCCTGTGTGTGCCCGCGCCAAGGGAGCGACGCATCAGGGCCGTGAGTAGCAGGATGCCCCTGGTAGCCGGGCCCCCCCGTCCTCCTTGGCTATGCCAGGCAGGTTCCCAACTGCCTAGCCCAGGAGAGGGCGTGGGGCAGAGGGGAGGGGGGCAGCGGGGCTTGGCCTGCAGCCCTGTTTACATCCCGGGCTGTTGCCCAGTGAACACAGACGCCGCCTGCCCTGCCCTGCCCTGCCGTGCCCGGGGGAGGCGGATCGGCCAGGTGTCTGCGTTTGGCTGGTGGGTGGGGCAGGGCAGTGTGAGCTCTTACCTGCCCGGCCCTCGTTAAACGGGCACTGATGTCCCAGCCCACTGCCTGCCAGGGCAGGGCACTGCCTGGCGCTCCCTGCCTCCTGGGCACAGCCGCCAAGCTGCCCTGGCAGCCTGGCAGAGCAGGGGGTGCAGCTGGATTGGGACTGCTCTCAGCTGCCCTTGGTGGGTCTGTCTCATGCTCAGGGTGGATTGACAGCGGGCACAGCCCAGTCCCCTGCACCTCCTGGTCCCATTCCTGCGCTGTAACCACTAGACCGTTCTCCCTCCCATTGCCAGCGCTGCCCAGTCCAGCCTCAATCCTGCACTGCAGCCACTGGGAATCTGGATCCTGTTG